ACACACATTAGATTAACTTAAATCACCATATTACTACTCTATCAAAAACCCTTAACACTCCTAAACAGTGTTATTGAGCTCCAAATCAAAAGACTAACATATTTCTCCCCTCAATAGCATCAATGAACCCGCATATGGGAAATGCTACTCAATGCTCCCACGATGATCATGAAATCACCTCTTTTCTTTTATTAGTTTGGTTTTAGCTCTGTTCATAGGACATATAAAAACACCCTTGTATTGTTGCAACAGAGTTGCCAAGATCAGTACTTTTTGTTATCAAGTCACATTAGAGTGGCTGGTGTATAGGTGATCTATTTCTGGGGCACTTTCGAAACATATTAGGATATATATCGTTGCATCCGAGTGATTCATAGGATGATAAACATGAAGTCACTCTGGTCTTAGGACTGAGATAATTACATTGACACACACACACACACACTTACACTTTCTTTTTCTTTGAGCAATGGTGGGACATAGGAGGCTGTTGAGGAACAGGGATGATGTTGCTTTGCAGATTCTTGAGCTGTGTGTCAAGACTAGAGTAGATATAAAACCAATCTAAATCCGTTTTGTGTATGTTGATATTGGTTTGGAATATTGATGCATTTTTTTTGTTCAGATTGCAGGATTTGTGTCTGGAATGCTAGTGATGGCCGTTTGGTACATTCCTTGACTGGTCATAGTGAATCTGTAAGTTGTGCACTGCACTCAAAATTAAAATTCAGAAATGCTACCATTGAACACAAACGAAAAAGGCCAACTCTAGCTTTTTTTTTTTCTTTCATTTGAGCAATGAGTTTGTCACCACACCAACACCATAGTTTTCATCTGCCTCTTGATGAGGTCTAAATCTATTCTTTCAGTGAGGAATAGATTATAGGTGAAGTGAATATTTTGATTGCCTTTGATGTTGTTGTCCTGTTTGCCAAAGAATTGTTTTTGAATCTTTTGTTTTTATGCAAGCACTGCAGCAAGCTTATATTGCTTGTATATATAATTCTGATTTCTGAGCTTGTTGAGTTTAATGCAGACGTATGTTTTGGATGTTCATCCTTTTAATCCCCGTATTGCAATGAGTTCTGGGTATGATGGGAAGACGATAATATGGGATGTAAGTTAAGTTATGCTGTTTTTTTTTTTTTTTTTCTCTGTCTCTGTTTGTGTGATTTTGACAGACGTGTGCTGCTTTTCCTGATATAATTGTAGATATGGGAAGGCATACCTATCCGCATATATGACATTGGGCGTTTTAAGCTGGTTGATGGAAAATTCTCCCCGTAAGTCATCATCTATTATCTATTGTTAATGTTATTATTTGTCAACTTATGTTGTGATTTATTCCCCCCTCTGCATTCTGTTGTAATACATTACAGGGATGGGACTTCAATTGTGCTTTCAGATGATGTGGGCCAAATTTGCTTGCTAAGTACTGGACAAGGAGAGTCACAGAAGGATTCCAAATATGATCAGGTAACCTGGCTTTGGCCCTGGTCACGACTCATATATTTTATATATATATATTATATTTGTTTCTTCATTTTCACCATCACTTGTTTCCATTGACAGTTCTTCCTTGGTGATTATCGGCCTCTCGCAAGGGACGCTCATGGAAATGCCATTGATCAGGAGACCCAGCTTCCTCCCTACAGAAGAAACATTCAGGATGCTCTTTGCGACTCCAGTATGCCCTATATATTTCTACTGATTTCTTTCCAAACAAAATAAAAATAAAAATAAAATGTTTATGTTTATGTTGGAAGGCATGCTTCCATATCCAGAACCTTATCAGAGCAATTACCAGAGACGGCGGTTAGGTGCATTGAATTTGGAGTGGCGGCCGCCATCATTAAAGTTTGCTATTGGGACAGATATCGGTTTGGGGGGTCAAGAATATCAAATATTGCCTTTGGCTGATTTGGATGTGGTGGCTGAGCCGCTGCCTGAGTTTCTAGACGCCATGTTCTGGGAACCTGAAAATGATGTGATTGTTGATAGCACGGATTCAGAGTACAATGTTACGGATGAATGCTCCAGTGAAGATGGGCGTGATGGAAACACCTCAACCGATGATGATGCAGATACCAGTCCGAGTGGAGGTGGAGGAAATCACATGGATCATCATGATGATTCCCGTCGAAGATCAAAAAGAAAGAAACCCAAAGATGTAACTACTACAACTCTTACTATTGTTTTCTTCCAATCCAACATGCTGTAATATATATATAATACATACTAACTGTTACCTTTTCAGTTGGAATGGATGACTTGTTTGGGAAGGGAAAGGCGTGGTGTTAGAAAGAGGAACTCTAACGAGCAGCATCATGAAGGGAGAAGCAAACGAACAAAGAAAACAAAAAACAAGTCAAAGAAAAAAGAGCAAGTCACCACCCCATCAAGACCTCAACGAGCTGCTGCCAGGAATGGTAAGAAGTTGTCATCACAGAGCAGTGAGGATGATGATGATGATGATGATGTGGATGTGTCGGAAGATGATTCCTCTGAAAGCGAGACATTTATGGAGGAACCGTCACCGTTACCATTGGTTCGCCAATCACCAGCACCAGAATCGAGAAAGAAACTGGTGCTCAAGTTTTCACTTTCAAAGAAACCACCAGCTTCTGAAAATACCAATACTTTGAGACATGAAGAAGAAGAAGAAGAAGAAGAAGAAGAAGAAAGCTCAAGACCAATCATAATTAGTGAGCCTGAGCCGGATCAATCAACATCAAGAAATGGGTTGGATGGACGCAGGCCTACTAAAATAAGAATTAAACCAATGATAAAGCTTGGTGGAATGAAAACAGAAGTGGATGATAATGAAGCAGGTCAAAAGAGAAACACAATCAAGTTTAAGTTGAATCAACATAATAGTGGTAGTCGGCAGATTATTAGTTCAAAGGCCAATGATTCATCTGAGCCCGAGGGCAGAACAAGATCACTCAAGTTTAAAGCAATTTGCCATGATGATGAGAAGCCGAATCTGATCCCTTTCAGCAGCAGTAGCAAGTCGGATGGAAAAACCAATTGGCTGTTACTGTCGGCTCAAGAAGAGGGGTGTCGCTACATCCCTCAGCTAGGTGATGAAGTTGTATACGTCAGACAGGTAATGTATTTTTTTTTTTTTTTTTTTTTTTTTATAAATTTCAGATGATTGATTGATTTTCAGGGTCATCAAGAGTACTGTATGCGGCATTCATCATCGGAACGTGTTCCATGGATATTATTCAAGGGAAACAGTATAAGAGACGTGGAGATTTGTTGGGTTGATGATGTTGTTTATGCGACTTTTCCTGGTTCTGGAGAGAGCTGTTGTAAAATAAAGCTTAGATTTACGGATCCTTCATCCGGGGTGTTTGGCAAAACCTTTACGTTGACTCTCCCGGAGTTGGTTGACTTCCCTGATTTCTTGGTGGAGAGAAGCCGTTATGATGCTTCCATAGAAAGGAAGTGGAGTGTCGGGGATAAATGCTTTGTATGGTGGAGAAATACGGAGGGAGGTGGAAGTTGGTGGGATGGTGAAGTTGTTTCAGAGGGCGATAAGAGTGTCGACTTTCCGGGGAGTCCATGGGAAAGATTTGTTGTCAAGTATGCAGAGGAAGCTGATGATGCTGAGATCAATCGCCATAGTTCATGGGAGCTTCATCCTCATAAAGACACCACCACTACCACCCAATGGGAACAACCACCCCCACCCGCCCTTCATCCTCACATCAGGAACACCATGCTCTCTTTGCTTTCTAAGCTACACCACTCTGCTTCGGCTAGGAGGGGTAATCAGGTACCTACCTACCTAATCTTGTTTCTTTTCAATCAACCAAGCCAATCAATATCTGTCTGATATATACATGCCATTTCATTGCAGGATCAATTTGGGATCATCAAGTTAAAACACAACTCACAGAGAATAGACTTTATAAATAGGTGCATAACATGATTTATTTGCTCCTCAAATCTAAAATCTCAACATACAAATAAATATTGATAAGCCTCAACATTTTGATTTTAGGTTTCCGGTTCCGTTGACTCTGGAGATCATTGAGCTCAGGTTAAACAACTATTACTATAGAAGCTTTGAAGCCATGAAGCATGACATCACAGTGATGCTATCAAATGTGCGTGCCTATTTTTCAAACAATGCAGAAATGTCCGCAAAGATGGCACGCCTCTCAGACTGGTTTGAAAGAAAATTGTCAAAGTTGTACAACACAACACAGGATCTTTTGTAACTTAGAGGAGAAAATACATTATATATATATATATATATATATATATATATATATATATATATATATATATATATATATATATATATATATATATAGCTAGGTCATAGATATAGCTACACATCCATTTTAGGGGATGACGAGTCTTTCAAGCATCTTTTCTTTTCTTGAAAACAAACCGAGGAGAGGAGTACTTGGTTTTGGGTTCTACCAACATTAATCCAACTTCATTTTCTTCAATCAGTAAGCTGATTTAGTTTACTGATGGAGTGGTTTGGGATTTGGATACATGAAAATCAATTCTTCCAGTTTGTTTGCTTCTTTGCCTTGTGCATACATACACTGTTGTGTTGTTAATCCTTCATTTTCATATATATGATATATATATCATATGAATCAATTCATAAATTAAGCTAACAAAATATTAGCAAAAGTAAATTAGTTCATAAATTAACCCTAATAAATATTACCAATAACAAATTTTTATATCCTTTTTTTTTTTCTTTCCATATCATGTGGAAGGCAGAAAGAATAGAAGAAGCTGCAGAACATGACTGATTGCCAATTATTAGTATTATTTTTTTTTTTCAATTTAATAATTAATAATATATCGATTTTTATTGTTATATTTTAAATTGAATTTTGGTTGCAAATAATGCTACTTTGGCACATTCAGAAACGTAGTTAAACATAGGTGGAATAAAACTCCACATATTTTTAGTAGATAGATGAGATGAAAACAAAATCCTTTCATTCCCTATATTTTCCTACAATATATGGTTAGACAAATGTAACAACGAGTGTTTGTCTCATAACTACTACCAATACCTACCTACAAGGCTACAGGAATCATGAATTAACTGAAAATGGTGTGCATATACTTTAATTTGCAGACTAGCCGAATTTCCCAATTTTGATTCTTCTAATACACCTTGCAGTTGCAGGACAAGTTTTGTTTGGTTCACCAACTAATTGGAACAACACAATCTTGAGAGTTTATTTCCAAACTGGTTTCAAAGAGAATTGCCAAATCTAAGCTGCATTTATTTCACTGCACAATAGAGGATCATTTTCTTCTGTCAAGTCAGAGTATTATTTGTTTTCAGTGTTAAAACTTAAACCCAAACAATTAAGTACCGAAATCATTTAATTTCTTCTGTGGAGTTCTTGAATCGCTTTTAGTATCTTCTGCTCGGTTATTGGTTTGGATATATTAATGTTAATTCCCGCTTCAATAAACTTGTTTAGTTCTTGGCCCTCTGCATGTGCTGTTAATCCAATGATTGGGATGTGCACACCATATTCTTTCTCCTTAACTCGTATCAGTCTTGTTGCTTCACAACCATCCATCTCCGGCATCTACAAGTTATATATATATATATATATATATATATATATATATATATATATATATATATATATATATATTCATTTGATATCATAAGCGATAGATCCAATTTTTTTTAGAGAAAAAATTCCATACCTGACAATCCATAAAGATATATTCATAGGGCAGAATATGTGAAGCTCCGAGATTTGTTTGATGACTTAGCCCTTCGGAGACCATGGTGAAAGCTTCTTTCCCGTTTCTGCACATCTCAAAACTCACGCTAAGCTTCAAAAGGATCTTCTTGGCTATCATCTGCTGCAGAGAATCATCTTCTGCCACCAACACTTTTTTCCCTCTTAAAGGGTTGCTGCTACTTTCGGTTTCTTCTTCTTGTTTTGTGATTTGGTGATGATTTGCATGTGGTGGTGTGGCGGGGAAGTTCCCCCCAAATTCTGGAAGAAGATGTATCAACGAGTGTAGACGTGAGCCATGGAGCGGCATGGGTATGATGATGTCAGACGGGGGAAGCTTCTTCTGGTCGAGGCCTTGGAGTTGAATGCACTTAGAACCTAACCAGACGATTCTAGAACATGCATTCTTGGAGTTTTTTCTGAATTCAGCAACTGCTTTGCATAGCTCATTGAAGTCAACCCGTGTTGTATCGATCACAAGCAATATGAAATTTGGCACACGACGACATGCAGTTTGATTATTATTATTATTCCTTTGTGGGGTCTGCGACACATCAGTCCCAACCAATGCGCTTAAAGGAACTCCAACTCCATTTGATGCTGGTATCGGTGTGGGCCAGTTGAGATACCCAAAACTTAAACTTAAATCAGATGATGATTTGTTCTGTTCCTCTTCTTGTCGTCTAAACTCCCTGAGACTTTCTGATAGTTGTCCTATGCTTTTCACTGCTAAAACTTTAATTCCTTGCGCTGCTATAAATTTTTGTGCCATTTTTCGCCTTTCATCACTGCTAATGAAGAGAACAACTATAGAAGAAGAAGAAGAAGGAGGAGGAGAGCTTTTCACAGTCTTGTCGTCTTCACTGAGATCAGATACACAAACCTTAAACACAACATTGAATCTGAAGCATGTGCCCTTTTCGCCCACTCCCTTGTCAACTATACTTATCTCTCCGCCCATCAATCGTACCTGCAATTAATTGTTCAATATCAGATCTTTTGTTTACTTGAGAATGAGAACGAGAATGTTAAATGTTTAATTAATGTTACCAGAGACTGGACGATTCCAAGGCCTAAGCCAGTGCCTTCAATTTCAGGACCCGTTTCTTTGACCTGGACATAGTTTTCAAAGATAGACGCTTGTTTCTCTTTGGGAATACCTTTTCCAGTATCGTCGACTTCAAATACGAATTCCATGGAATTAGGATCATCATGGAATTCATCTATACGCGCTTCGGTTTTGTTGAAAAATAAGCAGCGACATCCTCCTCTTCCTCCTGTAGATTCTTCATCATGTGTATACCGTAATCCACGCTTCCTGGACCAAGCGCGGACAGACACATTACCCTCTGAGGTAAATTTGATAGCATTGTTGAGTAAGTTGGACAATATCTGTTTAAGCCTGCCTTCATCCCCTTTTACATGATGAGAATATTTGGTCAAAGAAGCATCTTGGAGATCCAAAATCACATCCACTCCTTTTTTCAGACCAACAGGATAGAACAACTCAACCACACCCTCAACTACTTTTGTCAAGTCGAACTCTTTTTCTTCTAGCTCCATCTTCCCAGCTTCTATTTTACTTGTATCAAGAATAGAGTTGAGTATACCTGATGAGATTGCATGACTGATTAGATTAATCCACATTATAACATATGCAAATGATAAACATACATTCTTATGAGTTATGAAATGGTTGAGAGCTTAATTACCATAAAGATCTCCTGAACATATCTGCACAAGTTTCAAGTTTTTAGCTAATTCTGATCGTTGATCATCGACCTCGTTGATGGACATCTCTAACAATCCAGCAATGCCTGCTAATGAAGCACGAATATCATGGCTAGCAGTAACAAATGCAACACTTTGATTCATGCTCTTTCTTTCTGCTTCTTGTGTTGCTCCCTTCTGTTTTATAAGAGCAGCTTTTAGGCACATCTCTTTTTTTGCTGCTCTCACTGTTAACACCACAAAACTGAAGATAGAGGTGGCAACAATCACAAACAACAGTGAAAGAAGCAACAAACCAAATACTAGTATATTCTTATGCATCCTGCTTTCTGCTCCACCAATACCATCATATGGTAATGCCAATACATATACCTGAATTAAACATTCCATAATTCATGTCAAGAAGAGATCACATTCACATGCATATAAAAAAAAATGTTAAGGAGCATTTTTATACCAACTCCATTCCGATGATGTGATCATCAAGGGAGGAAGAATAGTACAAGATATATTTTGTTCCTGAAATCGTTACAACATGATATGATTCCGGACCATGATTCCTATTCCATAGCTGAAAAGATATCGTCTTATTCCCCTCTGGTTCATGTACAACAACATTACCATGATCTTTTGTAGCCAAGTACAAACCTCCACCAGAAGGTTTTATGCCATTCATTAACGATTTGAGACGAAAGCCAAGTGAGATGACTCCATTTTTATCCACACCAGCTGTATTCAAGACAAGCAAATCATTCACATCATTCAATGACTTCCCTAATGAAGCTGAAGCACATCCATTTGTAGAATTCAAAGCTTGTTGGAACCACGTTTCGTTAGCCAAAACTTGAGATGGAAACACAACTGCATCTCCATACAACTTCCCTGTATCCGAATCAATAGGCTGAGTGTACCACGAATAACCGTTTCTAGAAAACGAAGTGTTGGAATAAATAGCAAATATATGATGTTGGTTGTTGGAGTATAATGCAAAAAGCAAGCCATCTTGTCTGATATATGAAACTTGTGACAGGTGTGGGATCGTTAACAGTGCTTGAAACAGCAATGGAGACACTTGAGATTCTATGTGAGAGAATGAGATCAGGTCTGTTTTACTTTTACCCAGAGAAACGGTTGCAAGTTTAGCTAAGTTGGTTGCTGATGATTTCATTGGAAACAATGTGGTTGCTGCATGTTGTATGACAGACCATGTTTCTTCATGAGATTTCTTCGTCATCAAATCAACTTCTTTTTCAATTGCTTTGATTTTTAAAATCCAAAATGGGATTATTAAGGTAGGAAGCAGTAGGCTGATTATTGCCTACAGATAAATTCGTTAGGACAATGGTGAGTTAACAATAACCAAGTTGAAATCTTGAAGACGATATATATATATATATATATATATATATATATATATATATCGAGTTGTGAGAGAAAATTAATTACCAATAGGATGAAGAAAGATATTGGGTTTGATGTGATCATTTTATTGAGCTTCATGCAAGTTTTTGGTGATTGAAATGGCACTTTGATGACGTACTTAATTCCAAGATCTGTAAGAATATATCCGAGAGATGAATTCTATAATGTTTTAACTAGGGGTCAAAACCAAAACTTTGGAATAACAGCATATAAACAAGTTTAATTTTGTTCAAAGTTATGGCATGTAAAGAAAGTTAATATGAAATATTCTATCATTGTTCGTTTTAGTGTATTAATATAACTTTTAGCCTTTTTAGATTGTTTTTGTTTTTTTCTTTTTGTTTTGTTTTGTTTTGTTTTTTTGTTTTTTGTTTTTTGTTTTCATAACATAATTTACTAATAATTAACAAAATAGCAAAATAGAATAACAATTTACGATCAGCAGCGGAACACAAACATTGAAAGTAAGGGGGCCGTAATCAAAGACTTTAAAACATAGCTATATAAACAAGTTAATTCGGTTTAAAACTATAGCATATCAAGACAAACATTTTTAATATCGGTTATCAAAAACACCATAAAACTATTTTCATCCAAAAAACATCCTTAGCGGGTTTTGATGTTTTTGTATATAGATGTTTTCTTTGTAGAAACACATCACTAGTAAATTGTTTTTTCATGTTGCTATATATTATATAGCAAAGTTAACTAATAATTAACAAACAAACAAAATAAAATAACAAATAACATAGTCTAACAAACAGCTTTTTACTTTCTATAGGAAGATGATAATGACAACATTAAAATCTTGAAAAGCTAACATATAATTTTTTTTTATCTTAAAAACAATATTAAATTGTCTAAAACCATAGATATCATTCTAGCAAAATAAACAAAAATAATGTATATTTATTGATTGTAGTTATTTCACTCTGCATACATAAATTATAAATAAACATTTTAGTGGTATTTTTATTGTTATCAGATTTTTTATTTGCTCTCAATAATAATAAATAGGGAATTAAAGTAATATATTGTTTCGTATTTTGCAGCTTAACTTTTTCATATCTGATATCTCCCTATATGCATTGATTGTAAATACCCTTTGGTATTTACAATATTTTTCATTTGTATTTGAGAAACGGAAAGATAGAGAGAGAAAAAGACAGATTGTCTACATACGTTTAGTCAGGCGGAGGAGACGGAAGAGAAAGCGGTAACCGGCGGAGCACACAGCGGAATTTAGTGATGAGTACTCCGACGACTTCTCGGAGAGTAGAGAGCGTATACGGAAGAGGATATCAATCCGACGACTTCTAGGAGAGGAGAGAGAATATATGGAGGAGGAGATCAATCCGACGACCGGTAGAGAGGAGAGAAAGAATTCCGGTGTTCTTCTTCTGGTTAGGTTTGAGAACTTTTTTTCCGTCGGCGGCAATAATTTTATAGGGTTTATTTTTTTCTTAAATTCAAAGCTTCAAAATTTGAATTAAAAGATTGTAAATTCGATTAGATATTTCTTTTATATAGTTTCCTTACTTTGATTTCAAAGAAGGTTAATTTTAATTTTGTTAGTGATTTTTTAAACTTTTGGATGATGAGTGATTTAGTTTCTTGCATATCGTTTGATAACTAAATTCCGCGTATACACTACTGAACTTAAAAACGGAGGGGCAATTACTAATTGATTATTTTATTACTAAATTACCGTACGTATCGGTATTAGAAATCCAAAAACTAAGAGCATCCGCCACTGTTTACGATTATATATTGAAACAATTTATAAAATTTGCAATTATACGCTTAGTGACTATTTACAAATACTATGATCAAGTAATATAAAAAACTAGCAATTAACGTACAATCAATAATTATATAAAAATTAGTATGAACATTTAAGAAGGATTTTAGCTTTGGTAGGTGTTGTGTGTCTACGCCAGTGGAGGTAGGCATTGCCAAAGGTTGTTGGCTACAATTGATATGATATAATTGCAGGTTGTATAGTATGATTAATTTTGAGGTTTATATGAATGAAGACGTCGTGGATCATATCGTTTTTGCTTTGGCTAAAAAGAAGGCTGCAAAAGCTATATATATGCAGAAGGAAGTAAAGGATTTTCATTGGCCTTGTAGATGAATTGATAGTTATCATAGAGTGGAATGAGGTAGCTGGAGATTTGATCTTTAAAATTCTTCTTTGATCAGGTTAGTAATCATGCTTTAGACGGTGAGGGGCAGGGGGTTAGCCGGAGAAGTAGGTGGCAGGTCCATTAAGGACATTTCTAACCCACCTTCAAATGTTATTTTTTTTCTTTCATTTTCTCTCTCATTCTTCTCAAAACCTATCTCATTTCTTCTCAAACCCCGGATATGGAATAACACTATTTATTTCTTCAAATATAGGGATGAAGTTTTAGTTGTCGAGTTTAATCCCTGTTTTATACATTTCTAATTTATCTTATCTATTAATTTTAAGGGTTTACGTCATTTTTGGTCACTTAACTTTTGGTTTTGTACTCATTTGGTCACTTAACTCTTTTTATGTTTTAAAAGGTCATCAAACTTTTGATTTTGTATCAATTTAGTCACTTAACTTTTGGTTTGGTCACTTAACTTTTAAATTTGTGCTCATTTAGTCACCTAACTTTTAAAATTGTGCTTATTTAGTCATTAAACTTTTGAAAAAATTTAAAAGTTTAGTGACTAAATGAGCACAATTTTAAAAGTTAGGTGACTAAATGTGACCAAACCAAAAGTTAAGTGACTAAATGAGCACAAAGCGAAAAGTTTGATGACCTTTTAAAACTTAAATATAGTTAAGTGACAAAATGAGCACAAAACCAAAAGTTAAATGACCAAAAATGACATAAACCCTAATTTTAATTTAAATATAATATTTTGTTATATAAAAATTATATTAAATAATCATAAATTTATTTTTATTTATCGAATTCATATAAAAATTTAAATACATATTAAAATCATGAAATACGATATAGTATTTACAAAAGCATGTATAATATTTATTTTTATAAATGTATGTATAATATTATTTATAAGTGTATTAAAAATATAATCTATTTTATTTAATATTATTGTAATGAAAAAAATATAGATTATATATTTGTTAAAACTAAATTAGTAGAATGAATGTATTTGACAATTTATGTAAGTTGGAAGAATGAACTATACTAGGAATATATTTTTGGGGGATAAAATAAGATAAAAATGGAGTAGGGTTGAAGATGAAATACTATTTACCCCATCTTTTACTCCATTTTTGGAGAGAAAAATAGAGATGAGTTGGAGATGGACTTGGGGATGAGCAAAAACCGCACCACAACTAAAATTAATCGCAAAACCCGCATAAATCGTAACCGATAAACCACAATCGCAAAAAAAAAAAAAAAAAAAAAAAAACAATGGTGAGGTTTTCTGTTTTTCAAAAATTGCAAATTTGCGGTGTGGTGTGGTGCGGTTATTAGTTTTCAAAAACTGCCAAAAAACCACACCACACTGCATATATTATATATAATTTTTTTACTAATTATTAGAGCATCCACAATGCATTATTTAATGAGAGAGTTGAATGAGGTAATATACCTAGTTGACATTCGATGAATTAAATTCTATCATTGTGGGATGCCATGTTGGCATTCAATGGATATGGAGTTCAATGACCATTGAACTATTCAATGGGAAAAGGGAACCTTTTAACTATTAAATATATATTCCATTGACCTATATTGAGTTTAATGTAAAGTTGTATAGTACGTAAAATGATTATGTGTCAATCCATTAAACTCTACTAAGTTTAATGCATTGTGGATGCCCTAAGGACATTTAAATATTAAAAATAATACAAGTTTCATGGATGAAAGAATGATAAAATTCTAGAAGACAAAAATGTTGGGTTTTTCTTATGTTTAACTTTTGAAAATGGTGAAATTTGACAATTTTAAGATATTTATTGTTAATTACTAGTGATTTGACGTTTTTAAGATATTAGTTGTTTTTAATTTAAGTTAATTGTCTTATACATTATAGTTTTTTTTATTATTACAAGTAATATGTTAAACTCTTAAAATTGTTTGAAATGTAAACTGCAGTTAAAAACCACACAAAATAACCGCACAAAATTCATGCAGTCAATAACCGAAAAAAAAAAACAAAACCGCACCACAAAAATAACCACCTAACCGCACCGCAAAAATAACTGTGTCAAGCGGTTTTGAAAATAGATTAACCGTATTTGCTTTTAGTGGTGAAGTTTTGGCTAATAATCGTACCGAACCACACCGTACTCACCTCTAGATGGTCTAAGTATGTACCCTAATAAATGAAAATGTTTTTACCACTTGTCATTTCTCAAGATTTTTTCCACATGTGATTATGTGAGATTTTTGAATTACTTAAATTACACATGTTATTATGTGGTATTTTTATTTTTTTGTTAAAAAATTTAATCAATTCTACTAATTAATACATCTATATATATATATATATATATATATATATATATATATATATATATATATATATATATATATATATATTAAATTAAATGTGTAAATCAACCCTATAATTAATGAAACATTTATTATTTAAGATAAATATATTTTTCTCTATAAAATGAATATAATAATAAATAGTATGTTTTTTCTACCACTAAAAATGTTTATTATGATTTTTTTTACGTAATTAGCGTAATGAAATATTATAAAACAATATTGTCAAAATTGAGATATAATAAAATATATTTTGTTAAACTTTAAAATGAAGTAGACATTAAAAATATTTAATGTTTAGATCTTGATATAAAACTTTTATTTTTAATAAATGAGTATAGTACACGTCACAAACCCAATTTAGTCATTTAATCTATTTTTGTAATTTACTCTTAAAAAGTTAAAAGTATGGTAGCCTACTTAATCTTTCAATTTTTTTTTCAACCTACGTAAAGGAGAGAAAGGAGTGAACGATAGACATGAAAAGAGATCAGTTGGAACTTACAAGTCTAGATCTGGTGAACGGCGTTGTAGAGAGATGGAGAGCACCGACAAAAGAAGGGAGTTGCAGAAAACGCACCGGTGACAGACTGTCCGGGGTTTCTCCTAGGATTTGCAGGTCGCTCAACGTCTTCTTCTTGGATTTACAAGTTTAGATCCGACGTAGTAGACAAATGGAGCACCAACATCAAAAGGGAGTTGTAGAAAATGCACCGGAGACAGACAACCAAAGGTTTCTTCTCGGATTTGTAGGTCGGTGTTTTCTGGTGACAAGGTCGACGGAGATTAGCACTCCGGCAGTGACAGTGTTTACCGGTGAGAAACTATTTTTTTCTAGCAGAGTGATGATTTAATCTTGAGTTTTGTATATTCTTAAGAATTGAGTTAAAAGATTTGATAGTAGAATAATTTTCTGGTAATTTTATAGAATTTTTGTTTTGTAGTTTATTAGAAGGAGGTGATTCGTAACAATTTTTTTTCCATTAACAAAAGATTGTGAATTAAAATATTAGAATCCTAATTTTGTTATAATTGATTTTATTGTTCCAATATTTCCAATGGAATCTGTTAGTTATCAATTTGCTTTCCTTTTTTGTTAGGCTACATATGAAATACTATCAAATAAGAATGAGTTTTTTGTTTTTTAGATAATTTTTGAAATTACATATGCAAATATTATTAATGGGAGGCCAAAAAGTTTGTCAACAAATAAAATCATTCAATCAATATTTTATATATACTACTAGTACTTAGGAGGTAAAAAATCCACATAATTGGTAAGAAACTGGTGATAAGTAACATAAGACTAAATCTTGTTTCCTTTTCTTAAAACAAGTTACGAAAATAACTCTTCTATTTTGGAAAAAAATCATCAAAATAAAAGGACATGATTTCAATTAGAGAAACAGATTATAAAACATAGACAAATACGAATGGATATTTCTGTAACTAGGTAACGAATGTATGTTAATTCTGAAACAGTTATGTATATAGAGAAAAATATTTCTTCATTTAAAAGAAATGCTCTTTAAAATAATAATTATTTTTTAGTAAGTAGGAATATTTCTTTTAAAGTTGAATAAACGAAGGACATGACATGTAAGATTAGAATGCTTATTTCAGTTTCGTTGTTTTTGGTAAATTATCTTTGATAATTAGAAACAGAATCACAACTTTTTCTTACTTTTTAGAATAGATTCAATCTGTTGAATGAATCTTGTTTATTTATTTTCAAATTTTAATTCTTTAAAATAAACTTGTTAGTTTGGTTTGAAGGAATTGAATGAATGTAACTTGGTTACTCCGCTGGACATGTGTTCGTGATTGAGAACAAATAAGCACACACAAACATGCATAATAATATATGAGTGTTTCTTGTGTTTCGTCCACTTTTCATCCATGATAAATATCATGAGAATACTATTTTTTACTAATTATATAATCTTTTATGCAATCTCATTGCATGAATAAGCCATCTCTTGATTTCACTTAAAAAAAAACCTTTGACGAGTATAGATTTTATTATAGGCACCACTTTATATATATATATATATATATATATATATATATATATATATATATATATATATATATATATATATATATCAAATG